TTGCACCACTGATATAGCGCAACCTCTCGTCGCAATGTGAACATGTTAACATGCCTTGAATATCCACAGATCCGAAGAAAAGCCCGGTTCCCAATTAAATGGATCCAATCTACAGTTATCACCAGTCCGGGGGATCGTCACCACTGTTTGTGCTTATCTCCTGGATGTGTGTCAGTGGCCAACAACGGCATTCTTTTCTGTTCCCCTTCTTCATGTCTGAATGTGGGTCTGTTTGTGGCTTTGCAAGGTGACTGAGCCCAACCAGTGAGGTTACCAGACCATAATCAGGCCTAAATCTCAATTAAAGAGCCTGACTAAGGAAATCCCTACCTGGAGGGTAAGAAAGCGATGAGGAGGAAAGGAATATGGGAGAGGGTTAGACTTTTAAACTTTACGCACATGTCTTATAGTCTTTTGTACATGGACGTTATCTAAATGTCATCGGGGCTTTTGAACTGTTCTTTAGAGATGACGTAATTTATTTAGTCAGTGGCTATCATTAGGAGGCACATGCCTCATCCATAAACGCTTTTGCAGGTGCTGGGTAACCAATACCTTCAAAACCGAAAATGAATCACAATATATGTACCACTACACATGACGCAATCTGGAGGATCATCCCATAGCTTCTTTTACAGCTCCAATACCGTCAGCCTAAAAGTTTTGTGTCTACATCACTGAGAGCTAAAATAGAATATTGGATTGGTGCGAGTTAGATAGGTAGATCATGTATCTTGCATAATTCTGAAAAGGAGCCAGTTTAATGGATATGCTTTGTCAGTTATTTGTTGTTAGTCCAAGTAAACAAGAAAACTGTGATTGGCCATCACCACCTTTTCAAATCTCGCGTCTCAGTAGGTTGGAGGGCTAAACTACATTGTTTGAAACAGAAAGTGCTGATTATTTCCACCGCCAACATGAATCAAAACGCCACCACACTCTCGCTATTTCCTACGACACACACACAGCAGCCTGCTAATCATTGCCAGTACATAGCGGAAAAAATAAGATGTCACAGGTTGGAAGGGGACTTTGGGGCCGCATACTGAATATAATCTTACTCTTTGATCCAACAAACTATTTAGACTACAGAAGTGCCAAACATGCCAAATAATGTTCAGATGCACTGTCTACAATAAAAACTTTTTAGGTTTTAACCGCGTAACAAGAAAAACTTTAAGCCTCATAAGAAAAACTTATAAACACTAAAAAATATACAAATATTATTGTACCAATGTAAAAAATTCAAGGTCATATTATTTGTTATGCTTATGTTCTCATCAACCTTTTTACTTACCGATAATTTAACAAGTCTTTTACCTCCCACTTCACTAATAACAATACACTCACCGCTAAAAAATTAAAATGCAGTTATACATATGTATTCACCAGCTCCAGTACATTATCTGTACTTTCTTGTTATACCTATGAGGAAACCACGAGGGCCGAGAAATCACTTTTTTACTTTGCCCTTATTTGGCTATGAATAATTGGTATTGATAATTCCTCTTTTAGCTGTTTTCTCTCAATGTATTACTATCATTGTAATTTTATTTGTTACTGATTTTAATGTGTTATTGCCCTTAGTGTCTCTTTGTTTTGGTTTCTGTAGCACTTTGAGATTCTCTTATGAAAAGTGCTTCACAAATAAAATGTATTATTATTATTATTATCATTATTATTATTATTATTAAGGTGCACTCTAATTTTTTTTTACTTTTGGAACTCAGTTTATACCACTATTATGTGTTTTTCTGTTTTGTCTATTGGCTTTTGTTACTTTATGTAAAATACAACTTAGGCAGGCCAAACCACCCGAGGCAACTGTTAAACAGAACAGAAAATTATTTATTTTTTTATTAATTTGAATGTGGGCAGCATTTTCCTGCTGATAATTTATGACCTTTTGGACTTGTGGGTAGAGACTTGACTCCATGATGTGTTTTTTTTCTGTTTACATCAACAGGAGGAACCAGTCAGTGGTAGCAAGCCAGTGAAATCTCAGGGAAGTGGGTGTGGAGTAGCACCTGGGTCAAATGGCTGCCCGGCCACTCGCTCCACGCTGGAGAGGCTGTGCCATGCCCGGCGGGCGAGAAGGGCTGCCAGGCGGCTGAGGGAGCAGCAGCGACAGGCCCCCAAAGTCCCTTCCAACCTGGACATCTTAGAGCGGCACACCAGAGAGGTGCTGAGGAGGCTGGAGGTGGGACCGCTCGAGGAGGTGAGCATGTTTACTGACTAACAAACAAATACTGACAAAGCATATCATAAAACTGCTTTTCAGAATATGCAAGAAATGCTACTTTATAGCATCATTTTTTAGCTGTGAAACAAAAAAAGTAGCTTGGTGTAGATGCTGTCTAATTGTCTGGACTAAAAGATGTGATATGTGATGTTTTATTGACCGGCTTTCTTTACTACTTAGGATGCGGCGTTCTGTGCCAAGGTTCATGGGAAGCTCAACAAAGTGTCAACTGCATCGGCTGCTGCTGCAGAGTCTTTAGACGACAACCACCTACGGCTAATGCTGGTCAACGGCAGAATTATTAGGTGAGCGATTGCTTCCCTTTGGTCAACACAGCAATGTTTGCCCTTCTTTTAAATTAAGGCTCAGTGGTCATTCACACCAAGTCAGTAAACCAAAATCTGACAAAACAATTTCATAATCTAAATGATAACACAAACTAGTCAGAAATGTGTCAGTGTAGATAGAACAGGGTAATTACGTTGCATAGACAAACCCTCAGTTTGATGCATCAAACAGATCACAATCAAGACATTTTGGGAGATACAGGCTCTTTATGATGTGAATCTTTTATTCTACAGTCAAGATCCTCTATATTTTATGGAAAAATATATTTTATTTCATTCACACGTCTTTTTTTCTGTGCAGAGATATGAGGCGGCCAGGCAGCAGCCCGGTGAAGACGGAGGGTGAGCGGTCACCTGTTGGCCTAAGCCCATCTAAGAATTGTGTGGATGTGAAGTCGGAGAGGACACACGGCAGTCAAGAGCAGCACAGCGCAGTCGACAAACCCACGCTCCTCAGTAAGTTACCCAGTGTGGCTGTTTATTATTTAACTCATGCTTTAGCTGAGGAATTGAAATCGACCGTGTGCATTGTTTCACGCTCATGGTTTGTTCCTGTGTTTCTCAGGGGGTCTGGAGAGGGTGAAGACTGAACTCAGGGAAGAAGTCTCAGGACACTCCAGTGTGTCAGACGTGGAGTCAGACAGTGACTCTTCCACAGAGGTACAATCACAGGATCTTACTCTTAATCTCATATATAAAGAAAGAAAACCCACAGTCAATGCTGAGTTATCTAACGCCATCAAATGTCTTATTTCTAAACTGAAGTATGTGTGGCTCAAACATATTTAACAAGCTGTAAATGTGCAATGTTTATATACTTACATATACATTTAAATTACATTTACTTAAAAAGTAATTCAAATAGTTAATAAGTATAGAGAAAAATAATAAATACGTAGAGGAAAAAGTATCACACAGGACATAATGCTACAGTGTTAAAGTACTAATTAGGCTTCTGTGTTGCATGTTTGAAAGTCCATAAGACACATAAATCACTGTAGCACAATAAAAGCAAGGCCACAATGAAACATCAGCTGGAAAATAATACATTAAATGCATTATGTTAAAAAATGACATACAACAGGCAATACAATGACCCAGATGTTCTACGCTGGCTTTTTACGTTGTGATTACTGATGCATCCTTTCTCATTCTAAAATGCCAATGCAGCATAAAGCGTCGTCGTCGTCGTCGTCGTCATCGTCGTCCTCTTCTTCTGACGAGGATTCAGAGAGTTCCCAGGAAGAGGAGGAGAGAGAGGAAGAGGAGAGGGGCTCGTCTCAGCAGAAAGGCTCAGGGCACACCATAGAGCTGGACCAGTCTGGCCAGAATCTCAGGCACAAACACAAACCACTCAAACGGTGAGAAACGCATGCAAAGATGTTGAGACTGGTCCAATCAGGGCCTTCATAGCTGAAATGCTTTTATTTGTATGTGCACCGAGAGGTATGGAGTAATCAAATCCTGTCCGCTCCCCGCAGAGAACGTCCTACCTCACCCAGCACAGAAGAGGCCATTCAGGGGATGCTGTCTATGGCTGGTCTGCTGTGCTCCTCCAAGCCGGAGAAGGTAGCTTCATCCCAGGAGCACTGGTGGTCCAGCTCGAGCCACTGCTCGCCGCTGGAGCAGAGGGAGGCGGCGCAGCACCAGCACCGACTGCAGGGGGACAAGAGCCCGATGGACAGCCAGGGCAACAGCAGCGAGGCCTGGGACAATCAGGGGCTCCCCAGCCCTCTCAGCCGAAGCCACGCCAGCAGCCCAGAGACGGACTACCAGTACTGTGACCCCTCAATGTCTCCGCCGCTGCACCCCTCCAAGAGGCATGCCCCCAACCCCCCACCTATCAGCAATCAGGCCACAAAAGGTTCAGAAAGCAGATGATTATTTTGACTTGATGTATGAGTTTGACACTAGAGGGCTGATTTAACATGAATCTGCTGAAGGGGGAAAGTTTCTCCGTTCACCTTGAGTTTAACACGTATGATTGTGTGTCTTCGAAAATAGTTAGGAAGCCAGTCGTGCTCCATTAATACGATTACAGGTGTGATAAGGAAAAATATTCTTAGATTCTGGAAGGAAAACTAAAAGAATAAACTAATAGATCAGGTAAAAGATAACCAACAATCAAATATTGGGAAAAGAAGGGTATGGCAGTACGATGATGTCCAGGAGGTGGAGGTGATGATGCAGAATTATTGATTACAAATACATCAGATATCCTGTAAATGATTAAAATGATTGAATTGTAAAAAGTAACGCTTAAACTTACACAAAAAAAAATTATATTTGCAAAAATTCTGACTATCGATTTTATAATTTTATGTAGAAATGCCTAAAATTCACTGGCTTTAGCTCCTGAAATGTAAATATTTTCTTAAATATGATCAACCTGTGCTCTGCACTTTTATAGACATAAAACATCTGATAGTTTATAGAAAAGGAGTAATCGAGAAAATAATTGGCAGACTAATTGATAATGAAAATAATCAATAGCAATTCTAATGTGGTTCTCTTCCAATTAATGCCATTAACACGTGCTCTCCTTTTTTTTTCTCTTTTTCAGGCAAGCGGCCCAAAAAAGGAATGGCCACCGCCAAGCAGAGACTGGGGAAGATCCTGAAACTCAACAGACACAGTCGTGTCTTTGTGTAACACTCCAAATCTTCAACGGCGGGGATGTATTCTTGAAGAAAAAAAAACATAAACATTTGTGTATTTGTTACCAGACACTTTAGTGCTGTAGAAATGGGAAGAGAGAGAAAAAGAAAAAAAAAAAAAAGAGAAGACACTGCCTGGAGACGACCGTAACTGAACGAAAAACCTTGACACGTTAAAACGCTCACTGTGCATGCTTAGGAGACAGGGTATTGGATTTGAAATAAGCAAGTGCACGACTTCACTACAAGCACACTCAGAACAAAAATGTAAAAGGAGCTACGGGAAGCGGAGAAGACGAGCATGTTGTGAAATGTTCTGCTGCAGGGAAATGTGGACTGAAGCTCCTGCGGGCATTTAGATGGACAAAAGGAGAGATGTAGGAGGTCTACCAAACAAACAACGAGAAACGCTTGCGTTCGCCTGGGAGCAGCGAGATATCTACTGCTTCTGATGCCAACATCATCTGCGTCACATTTACTAATATTTTACTCCCTCTCTCCGCTGAACGCTCCCTCCCTCGCGCCCTCCCTCCCCCACAACCTTCACTTGCTTCATGGCTATCTGAGACAAACTGAAACAGGGTTGGACGAGCAGATGAAACGGGAGCTGTATCTCCAGCAGGGTGTTTTTTTTTTTCTTTCCTTCCCCTCTGGCTCTGAGGGCGAAACGAGGTGCTAAGGAGGAGAACTGATATTTCAAAATGGTGCTTATTGTTTGTACTTTTCTCCACTCATGCTTGTCCCCTCCAGCCTTCACCTCCCTCCCTGATCCCCCTTCCCTTTTATCTCAATCACACCAGCAATAATGACTTTGAGGAGAGGACAGAGCGAGAGGCAGCACTTTGGTGCATTTTTTTACCCCGATTATTCTGTTTGAAAAATCAAAAAGGGTGCATTACAGACTTGCACAATTTGGTGCAAAATCTACTCTCAAATCTGCACTATGTTTGATCATTGGGGGGGGGGGGTCAGTCTGCGTTTCTGAGCAATTTTTGACTAAAGACGAGTTGCTGAAAGTGCTGCC